TTTTGGAACTATGAAGCCGACAATCTTGTCACGGTACAGAACGGCGGTATTCCCGCCTGGCCTCCCCTGCCTGGCTCCTGCTCTGACGCTTGCCCTGGGCCGGACGAACTCCCAAGATCCAGAGCAATAAATACACTACGCCCTCCTTCTTCTGCCCACCCAGCGGGTTTGGTTTCCCTCTCTTACCTAACGATCCCCTACCAGTCGCATTCTTGCTCTCACTCTTCACCAAAGAGTAGAGCTATCACGATGCCGTCATTTAAGTCTTTCTCGACTGTCGCCAGCGGCAGGAGTAGTGTCACCTTGTTTGACATTCGGTATGTGACCAACAGATTGGCCGATCGCCCTCGGTCTTAGTACTTCTTCGCCGAAGGCCCGCCGACTGACATTGCGTGCCCCCTCCAGTCTCGACAACGACTTTATCGTCTTTCGCGGTTCAGAGCACGAGTCAGCCGGCCAGACTCTCAAGGGCTCTGTTGTTCTGTGCCTGTCAGCCCCTCTCAAAATTGAGGATGTACACCTCCGATTCACTGGTGACCTACGCTTTTCGTGGGACCAGTCCCGCACCCCTACCTCCAGCATGTCGAGCCACAAGGTCGACAGGCATACCGAGCTCCTCCGCCGCCGTTGGGCGCCGTTCGTGAAGAGCCAGAACGGCGAGAAGAAAGTTCTCGAGGCCGGCAACTACGAATGGCCTTTCAAACTCGACCTCTCCGGCGAGACTCCCGAGAGTGTCGAGGGAATTCCTGAAGCCAGCATCACTTACCGTCTCAAGGCGACCGTAGCTCGCGGCAAGCTCGCTCACGACCTGCATGCGTACAAGCCCCTGCGCATTGTTCGCACACTGGAGCCTTCGGCGCTCGAGTTCCTACACGCCATAAGCGTCGAGAACATCTGGCCCAACAAGGTCGATTACTCCATCATCATCCCGCAAAAGGCCGTTGTCTTTGGCGCGACAGTCCCGCTGGAAATGCGATTCACGCCTCTGCTAAAGGGCCTCGAAATGGGCGACATTACGATCAAGATGGTGGAGATTCGCGAGATGAGCACGCCAGGCACCCCCTCGAGGGATCATCGGACAGAACGCGAGGTGTCCTCGTGGAGTTTCGGAGTCACAGCAGAAGACAACTGGCAGGACATGATCGGCGACACGGGCCAGGAGGGATGGACGGTCAACAAGAAACTGAACCTGCCCAAGCGACTGAAGCAGTGTGTGCAAGACGTCAATCACCACGGCATTAAGATCAGGCACAAGCTCAAGCTTGTCGTCGCTCTCAAGAACCCCGACGGCCACGTCTCAGAAGTAAGTCTGACGAGCGCGCAATCGCGACTACAATGTGCTGACGATTGAACAGCTTCGGGCGACTCTTCCCGTTTCCATTTTCATCTCCCCAAACATGCCCCTCGACGAACACGGCGTACTTCTCGACTCTGCCGTCGGTTCGACCCCTCCCGAGTCTGACCACACAACCATCGCGCCTCCTGGCTACGGCGAACACATCCTCGACCAACTGTTCGAAGACGTCGACACTGGAGCTGGTTTCCAGACACCTGGCATCCAATCTGGATTCAGCTCACCTTTCTACGCACAATCCCGCGCCGGTTCCTCTGATAACCTCCACTCTCTCGGCATGACAAGCGCCCACGGGGTGGCACCCGCTGCCCTCACTTCGCGTCTGCAAAATGTTTCTCTGGATCCTTCCGAGCGGATGCAACCTACCGACGTGATCAGCGCTTGGTCAAACCCACCGACGCGCCACCCTTCGCAGCCTGCCTCTGCGGCCCTTACACGCCATAATAGCGCCGAGGATGAGCGCAATGGTGGCAACAGCAACGACTCGCCTCGTCCTTCGGGCCGCAACTCGCCCGAGCATGTAGAGAGCCTCGACGTGGCGACCCTCAGCAAGGTGCCCAGCTATACTACGGCGCTGAAGACGCCAGCACGCTCGCGAGCAGCGAGCCGCGGTGAGGTGCTACCCGATTACCTGACGGCCATGAGCGCACCTTCGACACCTATGCCGAGCGACCGCCCTGAAGTCGACCCCCTGGACGTGATCCACGAATCAGTACCTGCCGGCTCACGCACAGCGCCTGGAACACCACCGCTGACTGAGAGGCATATTCATCCGTGGAACCGATCGACGAGCATGAATAGCATCCTGCAGCAGGCCGGTGTTGACGACCGACGCCTTCATTTGATGCAGGCCCGGGATCGTGTCGTCTAAATACTACGTCTCGTCGTAGTTCTCTCAACTCAGTTTCTTGCCCGTTTGGGTCATCACCACTCGCGACGATTCTTATTTTCTCGCTTTTCTACCACTTCGGATCAACAGCAACGATAATTGGCATTGCATGGCTACGGCGTTTGGGAGATGCGTGGGACCCAGTTGTATCGGTGATTTTAGAGCAGCCAAGTAGATGAGGCCGTGAGGCGTTTGCTTTCTTTCCCATATGACAGGACCCGCTGGGCATGGGCGCGGGTTTTCAGAAATATCCAGACGAAGAAGACTGCCGGGTTCTTTGGATTCACGAGCGATATACTGTATTAGCAAGAATGCCTTGAGGGCGAAGATACCAACGAAGCTTATTTCCTTGATCAAAGTCCCTCTTCACGTGCTGCGCAAATCGAACAGACCGCTATTGTATAGCGGGGATGTACTTGAAGTCCTGGTGGGCAGATGTGGACAGGTTCGTCTCATGATGGTGGACAGGGGCCCGGTGCGATTGTATCTTGAAACGATCGGGTCAAGCCGAATGCGTGTATCCTTGGTACAAGCCTATGCGGCGAGAACTGCCGTGGTCATGAAACGTCGCAATGAGATAATCGCCATGCGCGATTGCTGGTCCCCATTTCGTCAGGCACACTGACTCATTAGTCATGAAGCGTGGATTGTCAGGTCGATGGAGTGGGGTACGCGCAAATGTCACATGCATGGGACGGATTGCATGACATGGCGTATCTCGTGGAGTCGCAGGTCATGCTCACTGTCGTTAAGAGGCAACGAAGGGAGCCGTCGGGTAACCAGCTGGTGGCATGCATCTCTTCGGGCCAATGGGTGCTTGCCAGCATTACTTGGGCTTCATTGAATGTGTGTAACTCTGGAGCCTGAGAGCCTTGCTGACGAGAGGTAGCTTTCATGAGGATCAGGGTCTGCTGCTGACACGGGATGCAATCAGGCTTCATCGTCGATGCTGTATTAGCTCCAGAGCATCCATCAGCTTGCTCCCTCATTACCTAGTGACAACTTCACTCAAGATTATTTCCAATGTGAAGGGCGACGTTGTTTCCCCCCAAAGTGACCATGATTCCTCATCTCGACGCAGCGGAATGGTCCAGAATCGATACTCTTCTCAGGAAGAGCCTGGCGGCTCGCGAGGCCTGCCGCGCGAATCCCCACAACGCCCGCGCTGTGCATCAGGCATGGCAGCCGATTTCGCGGATCCTGGACCTCTTCCGTGAGGAGTCCTTCACCAAGACGAACCACCTCGAGCTCACAGACGTGAGCCCGTACGGCCAGGGAGCCTTGACGGCGCTGACAGACATCATCTGGGCGTTCAGCAACGGGCCCGTCACGGAGCAGCTGGATTGTCCCCAGACGGCGGTGGATCTGTATGCGTACTTTGCACGAGATCTGTACAACGTTTGGCTGCAGGCGAACAGCCCCCGCGAGGGCGGCGACATGGCGAGACTGTTTCGGACGGTGACGAACGAGCTGGCGGACTGGACACTGATTACCAGCGATGATACGGCGCGTCCGGGATTGAGCAACTCTCCGAGGCGGGGGATGGCGGCACACGCCTGGGTAATGACTAACTCGATGGTGCTCCATCACAGCGAGGATGTCGTTGCTGCGAAGCGGCTCTGGGAAGAGCGGTGTGGTGTGTTTACGGTCAACTCTGACTAGGTCGTTCCACCGTTCCTATTAGCAGCGACAGGTTTTGGCGTTCCTGTATACGTTGCACGCCTTGCCCTTCGCTCACTCTCTCGTTCTCTCTCTCCTTCTTTTTTTTCTTTCTCCCTCTGACATATTCGTGAGGGAGATCCCCTGAGTTAGGAACTGAATGTCATGTCTAAGCCACACACTTTGTGCCCTGCATGCATTGTTGGACCCCATCGTCGTGGCGTGATCGTCGCTTTTCAGGGCAGCCATCGTGGGAAGAGTCCCAGCAGAGCAAGGGCCGTCGCGGCGACCCCGTTCTTTGGCCACCGGGGCATTGGTGGTCCGGGGCAAAACCTGCGGACGAGTCGACCAAAGCTGGAGGCTAGAGCAAGCCACACAGATCACAAAGCTTGTACAGCTGAGGGTTCTGGTGGTGTCGCGACATGGGTTGGCATGGTTCACCTGGGACGATCTGCTGTTAGCGCTGGCCATGGGCATGAGGAAGGGAGAGTCGGGGGGTAATGGAGGGACTTGTTGACGTCATCCAGGGTTCAGGCGCGAGCAATTTAAGTAGCCGTTGGTCTGCCCCTCTGTCGTCGAGCGGGAGGAACAGAGTTTCGACATCGTCTGGTCTTTTGAAATCGACTGCAATCAGACAGCCTCCTTTCGACACGTACCGCCTATTAATCGTAATTCCTCATCAGCACTTGTATATTTCTCGCCTACGAGCCTATTCTGTAAGTACCTGTCGACTCGAACCCACCCCTTCTTCATTAGGGATCAGCGCAGGGAAGATGGGGGCAGGCACCACCAAAGGGGAGAGAGGGGTTGTTGGCCCGGGCGCCCGAGCTGTTGTGGACCAGTCGTATTTGGTGCGCCCGTAGATGGATCAGGTCACCGCCTTGCCTCAAAGAGCGAGGCCAAGAGGTGGGACGGGGGGGCTTGGGAGATGAGCTTCAAGACCCTGGATGCCTACCTCTCCTCCTCGTTGGGTTGTCTTTGCTTGGCCGTCGTTGCCGGATTTCTTCGTCGCATTTGCTGACCCGGAAAGAACGGCGTTCCTCCCTCACCTGCGACTCACCTACTGCACTCGATCAACACCACGTCAAATCCGACATCATGAGCGCTACTCCGACTGAGCTGCCATCGAGGGCGGCCACTGGCCTGACCACCGCAAGCACCAACGATGGTGCCTTCTCCGACACTGATCCCACCAGCGTACGCCCTCCCCTTGCCGCTCAAAAGCTGCCTCTTCGACGCCAAGGCTAACTACCAAACTACAGACCGCTGGCCTTCTAAGCGAGCGCCTTCAGGCATGGAAGCATGCTGTTGGTTATCTCGAGGACTACATGGGCGCGATTGAGAAGATTCACCGCGCTCAGGCTAAGGAGTATGAGCGCGCTCTGAAGACCATCTCGAACCCTCTTAAGGAGGGCCACCACTTCGATCAGTCTCTCGGCGGAATCGCCGGCTACTTCGAAAACATGCGCTCCAACACCCAGGCCCTGATCAACACCAACATTGAGACCGAGAAGTCGATCAAGGGCTCTGTCCTGCCTGTTCTTGACCGTCTACACAAGGAGATCAAGGCCAAGAGCAAAGAGTTGACCAGCGGTGTTGAGAAGACGGCCAAGGAAGTCGAGAAGGCCCGCAACAACACTCAGAAGCACATTGAGCTTCTCGGTCAACAGACCGCATCCTACGAGTCCTCTGGTGGCAAGATCCACGGCTCTGACGATCCCTACGTTGTCAACCGTGGTGTTCTGCACCGCCTCCATAAGCAGGTTATTGAGGAGAACACAACCGCAATGACCTACTTGCTGTCCAGAACAACTCGCAAGCCTTTGAGGCACACATAGTCCAGGGTCATTCAGCAGGCCATGGAGTCCTTCAACCTCCTCGCCGGCGGCCAGGGCGAGAAGACGCGCGCCCTGCACTACGACATGCTGCAGTCCATTCAATCCGTCGTGCCCGATTTCGAGTGGCGCGGCTTCACCACCCGCTCCGCTGACCGCCTTATCAACCCCAACGACCCCGCCCGCTCCGTTGACGACATTCAGTTCCCCAACATGTCCCACCCAGCCACCAAGCCCCTCATCGAGGGATCGCTTGAGCGCAAGTCGCGTAACAAGCTGTCGTGGGGCTATACGACCGGCTACTACGTTGTCACACCTTCCAAGTTCCTCCACGAGTTCAAGGACTCGGACAATGCTCGCGTCGACCCCAAGCCCGAACTGTCGATCTACTTGCCCGACGCCATCATTGGCGCTCCTTCTGGCGAAAAGTTCAACGTCAAGGGCAAGGATCGCAGTGGCGGCATGAGCGCCAAGCTGACCGGCACTGCCGAGTTGGCTTTCAAGGCCCACACTCCCTCCGACGCGCAGCGTTGGTTCGACATTATCAGGGGCGTTGCCGGCGCTACCGGACCCGCAGAGCCGACTTCACCGTCGTCGCCCGTCGTGGATCAGGATGCCAAGTTTGCTGCCGTCACGCCGCCGGGTCCCGCTTCGCCCGTTGCAGGCCACGAAGCACAACAGTCGGGAGTACTGGCGGCACCGGACGAGAAGCCTCCTGTGCAGGCTGCCCCTGCTCAGGCTGCTCCTGCTCAAGCGGCACCAGCCGCAGCACCGGCTCCTGAGAAGGCTGGAGCTGCCCCCCCTGCTTTCTAGGAAGTTGAGGCTCTGTTATAAATGAGGCGGATCGGCCGCCCGGTTCGCCTGAACGCCTTCTCTAGATGCGGCCTAGAGCAAGGCGCAAAGTGAGGCGGGCAGACCATCCACTACGATGGACCTCGACACCACCTATTGAAATGTAATACGTGCTTTACTTTTTTACGCTGAGCGCGGCGTCGTTCTCTTCGCCTTGTCTCTCCGCGAGGAGTTCATGTTGGGAGCGGGGTTGACAGACGAGCTAGGTAATGAAGTTGCTGGTAAATAATACAACCAAAACCATGAAATACAACAAGTTTCTGTCCAATGCTGTATCGCAGCTTTTGCGACTTGTTTGACATTTTATGTTATTTTTTGGCTTATTGCCGGCCCGGTGCGTTCGGCTGTTAGCCGGGATCAGCATCACTTGTAAGGCCGTACCGGTATGTGGTAGGTGACAGATATTTGATCAGGATGAACCACAAACCCACACTTATGGAACGGTGTGTACGCCAATGACAAACCCCTTCCCACCTGAGCCCTTGTTCCCTGTCATCAAAGCCGTTGTCGACATCGTGAGGCGAGTCGCATCGAGCAATCGTTGCTTACCGAAGGCCACGTCGCCGGCGACATGTCTCAGAACTGCTGAGGGAAGTAGAAGATTGCCATGTTGGGGATCTTCATCGCCGATTCTAGGCCTGCTGATCCATGATGCCGCGATTTGACGGCATGCTGTGGGGGGACTCTGGCTGTCCATGTCGTCGGAACCGCAGCTGCGATGTCTCGAGTCACTGACCGAAAGTCTGCAGTGTGACGACCCAAGGCCAGGCAAACTATTGGGAGTGATGCCTTGCAAGCCGGTGTCGGGCCGTGCGATCTTGCATCGAAGTCGTGCGGTCGCAGTGTACAGCAGGCAGCCAGTTTGGAAAGGAATTGCCATTCTGCCTTGCTAGAGATAACGACAAGGCGCTCACCAAGGTCAAACACCTGCCGATGAGATGGTTCCAATTGGTGCATAGAATTGGGCGCGCGGACCAGAAACTACTTTGCAACTTCCAATTCGACACGGCGAGGGCCTTCAGCTGACGACGAACCCCCGAGGTGGGCATCGAATACAATGGCGTTACACAAGACTTTTAAATGACCTTGGGATGGAGGGAAGAAGAGGAGGAAATGGGTGTGTTGGCATCTTGTCGGCCGCCCTGCTTGCAGGGAGCGAGCCCTGAGCTGGGCGAGAGGTGAGATGGCTCGCTGGCTGCCTTGCCATTACTCGAGGTGGACGTCTGCACGGCGTTTTCCAACGAGACCTGAGCCAATAGACGAGATCGGCTGCGTTTCCTCGGCGAAAGAACTTGGGGGCATGCAGGCTCTGGTGCGTTCTGGGCATAGGTTATCGAAAAATGGACCCTCAGATGGCGAGGGAGGGCCTTCTTATTCCCCTCTTTCGTTGACACCGAAAGTACCAGCTATGGGTCATCGGTTCGTCACCTTGGCTGCCTTGTGCGCGGACTACATCGAGCGGCTGGTGCTGGCTTGCATCCTTTACGCCCGCCTCCGGCATGCTTGGCTGCCTCGCTAGACGTGGGATAGCCCAGCCTTGGTGTCGCTCGTAGCCTTGTGTGGGCAGTGCACCATTAGCATACCTATAAGGCGGGGCTTCGACCGCGATAGGTTCTCTTGTAACATGGCTTTTCTTTCGTCTGATATGATTCTACGCCTACGTTTGTAGCATGATGTTCTGAGGACATAGCTGCACCATCTCAGACTTTCCGCCTTCGAAACCTTTTCTTTCGACTTCGACTCGCTGGGCTTCAAAGCGAGAAGACGGGTAGGCTTGTATGATGGGCAAACCATGGGACAAGTATCAGGGCGAGATCACCAAGCTCTACAAAGATGACAGAAAGACGCTTGACGAGGTGATGATAATCATGGAGACGAAGTGGCAATTCAAAGCATCGTAAGCCAGCCCTTCAATTTTATTCAACAAACATGTTCTGTTGTGGATGGAATGCTGAAACTACACCTTGCAGGAAACGAGCTTACCGAGGAAGATTCAAAAGATGGGGTATCGGGAAATATACTCTCACCAAGAACAAGAACCAAAAGGCTAGCGCCGAGAAGCTTGAAAGCTACCAGCCGGAGAGCCCGCCAAACCCTCCCTTTCGCTTCATGGCTGGACAGAGCATAACACCAACTAGAAGTTTGAGCAACAACAGTGGGGTTGAACGCTCACGCAACTTCTGGGAGGACGCCGAGCTATCCAGGCAAGAGATTGACGAGCTGAACTGCAACAGAAACACACCATTGTACGTATCTGGTTCGGTCGCGCTTTTGTGTCTAACTGTTCCGTCATTCTGTTTTCTTAGACCTGCCGCTGACACGCTTACAGGGAGTCTTTTACCAGAGAAACGCAGGTCGAAACCGTCTGTTCAGTGAGACATGAAACGCTCCCGCCGTTGTCTTACACGTTCCCCCCATCTCCGGCATCTTCTGCATCGAGTTTCCCAGAACAGGTCGGTGTTGAACGAGATTTGACTGAAGAAGTGCCTCATAATTGTTTAAATCGCTCGACCTTGACGGATATCTCCATGGACGGCATGCCGCTCGCACACATTCAAAGGATGAGACAGCAGAGCAGGCGTGGACCAAGCCAAACATACCGGGCAACAATGAATCCAGGAACACCAGCTTATTATTCTCCGCTGGAGGACCGTAATGTCGATACTCAATATTCCCCAGAGTACCAATACACTTCTGGGCAAGGGCCTCATGGCCAATACTCCGGTCGCATCCCGGCCGACTTCAACTCAATGGAGCCATCCGTGGCTTACCTTAGCGGGGCTTCTTGTGCTATACAACAAAACAACAACGCAAACCAGACAGGATGGTTCTAGGAATCTCGTTGAACCCTCACATTATGAAACGTGGACTCTTGCGGTATACTGTCGACAGAAGAAGCCGGCAGACGCGATTGCTGAGCTTTGTGAGTTCATGTGAAGCTCCTGACGCAGAACTGTGATCCGGGGAGAGGAACTTCTTCTGCGGCCTCCCTGCTCGTGTGTAATTGCGTGTACCTGGGCTGGTCATCTCTACTGGCGACTTCAATTTTCTTGACTGTCATGATACACCTCTCGAAGCAAAGTGTGGACAGAAGACTGGACGCGAATATGGTAACAGGCGTTTTGGGCCCTTACCAATGGTATGCTGGTATGATGTGCAGGATCTCATCACGACCTGTACAAGGAAAACCGAAGCATGCACAGGCTGCAACACCGTCTCAAAAGGCTACAGTCATCGTGCAGACCATCTCTCAATGTTTTATTACTACGATGCTTGAGTATAATGATAACGAAAACATAAATTGGAACTAAAAGGGAACGCTCCCGCTCGCCACGCCGTCGACTTGCTTTCATCCCAGCCTAATTTTTGGCCACATTCCGAGACACTCTTGCATGTCAGCCCCCACAGCATCCCCAGCCCTCGCTCCAGTGATACCATCTCCAGACGTGGCCTCGCCAATACCCGCGGCGACCAGGCTTGCGAGCGCAAAGGCCTCCTTATCGCCATCGGCATCCTTCATCAGCGCATCAATGTCCGTGCGGCGCATGCCTCCATTCTCAGACCATGCCTTCCATGATTCGAGCGCCGCGACGAGCCGAGAAGAAAGCTCATCATTGAGCACAATGGTGTGGAGCAGCGGACCCAGCACCGGCTTCAGCGACCAGGAAACTGGGACTTCAGGCACCGCCACGGAGGAGAAGATGCTCCCCCACGCCGAGTTCTCCTTGAGCCAGCGCAGGGCGTGGGGCGCCAGTTGCGCGGGCGTCCACTTGGGCGATTGCAGCGCTTCGAGCAGACGAGCTTCTTTTCTCTGCAGATCCGCGTGCATCTTGTCGCGGACTAGGGTGGATCCATGTCAGTTTGCTCCGTTCGCCCAGTGCGTCCAAAAGAATAGTGGAGGGAAAAGGAGAGGAAAACACACAATCGTCGAGTCTCTGGAGGTTCTCGCGCTCCATCCGCGCCTTGATGGCCTGCTGCCTCTCCGCGACGCTCATGCGAGCCTCCTTCTCCATGTGGCCTCTCTGCTCCCTCATGCGCCGCATCATGAGCTCCACACGTCGCGCCTCGGAATCATCGGCGCTGAGAGTTCCCCACTCAGGTGTTGCCGAGGGATCGACGAGAGAGATCAACTCGAGAACGCCACAGGGAATGGACGCACGGCGGACGAAGGATAGGAGAGTCTCCGGGATGCGATGAGACCAGAGCAGGGTGCGAGCGGAGGTGCCGTAGGCTGTTGCCGCGCTCGCAAACCAGATCGCTGTGGTGGCTGGGCGGAGGTGGTCGATGGGAAGGTTGTCCAGCGGCGACTCGGGGCCAGGGTCGGAGTGTGATGACGGTGGCGACTCCGGATCGAGCTCGTGCTGGGCGGCTATGAGGCCCTGAGAAGCAATCTTGCAAATAATGGTTCTGGAAGAAACCTTCTTCGGAGCAGGGGTAGAGGGAGGGATATGATTCTCATCGACCTGTGATTCGATATCTTGGCTGTCTTTCGTGTCGGTTGAGTTTTCGATCGGTGCCAGTGTCTGAGCCTCGGGAGAAGGTGCTGGCAAGCGAACCCAATATGGTGGCAGCGACGTATGGTCTCTCGTCGTCCAGTGCGACGACCAGCTAACGGCCAGGCTCAGATGCCCGTCAGAATTGTCCAAGGGGGCCACGGTCAGCGCTTTGTGGGTTCCATCAGGACTCTGCATCAATGCACATCCGACAGGAGTCCAGAGCCCAGTATTCCTCAACAGTCTCCAGCCGTGGGCATTGGGTACAGCCCCCAGGTCCAGGAGATAGCAAATGAGTTCCTCAAAAGCCACCTCGACTTGGGGCTGACGCAACTGGTCGGCATACTCCACGCGCTGCGTGCGAATGCCAATGGTGTTGGTGTTCCAGTTGAAGACGGACCACGAGCCGCCGGGGATAGTGCTAGGATGAGGCGCCCGAGACCAGTACGCAGATCGATGCATGGAGCGGTGCCATGGGGT